TAACATCTCCGAAGTCATAAGCGAATAGCCGCTGCGTCATGATAGCATTGTCGTGACGGTGATCACTGTATCGAGCAGGTGATGACGAGTCGTACGAGCCGTCACACTAGGTGGTTTTGGTGTGGCTGAAGTGAGTTGGCGGCTGGCCAAGCGCGGCCGAGGCCGAGCGGCCAGCGATAATCATACAAATTCTTCTCCAGCCGGCACATACGCACCCGCACAACAGCCAGAGACGTTAGGCCCAGCAGCCCAGTAGCAGCGAAACGAACAGAGACAACGAGGTGATCGATAATTCCGTGTGTGTATGACTGAGTCTGTTGCCCCTTCATAGTGTGAATGCACCAGTAAGTCAACCTCCTCAATCCAAAACTGTATCGGCTGTCCAGACTGCTTGGCTTGATACGTCCTGTATCCACCCATCTCCCGCTTTTCTGGCGTTTCCTGTCTTCTATTCAAGTTTTGTAAAAATGATCTTCATTGATTACTGTAGGTTCATAGTTCATCCATCTACAGTCTCCCAATGACAGCTCTATATGAATTTGTCATTTCTAAACTAGTCTTAAAATTGATCACTCCTTCACAAATTGTATAAGTTCAAGTGTGCACCTTCGCCCATTTGAAAAACCTCCACCTTCTCTGGAATATTGCCAGAATAGTCTTTTGTCTGGGTCTCCAACGTCATCATGTCCTTGAACAGCTCGAAACTAGCTCTTTATTTACGGATAGCTCTTACACTCGATTGCGAAAGGCTGCTCCTTTAGATTTCGGCAGTTCTTAAAGCTATCTGGATACTGTACTGAGCTGCAACTCGCCTTGTTACACGTGGCGCCTTTATAACATCTCAGTTGACCTTATAGTTCGCGTCACGTGCTTTCCTATTGTAAGCATAGGCATCTTTCAGTAGTTTCTGTAGTTGTGAATAGCAAGTATTACGGTAACTGCAAGAGCCAGTACGGTAGCGTCGACGCTCGGTAATGATAATAAACATTTGCAAGTCTGTATGAGCTAAAATGCTTTCTTCCTTCCTAGCTAAGATTATGGCTTGGCCAGCTTTGTTAATTTCAAGTCGCCTACTATACTGCGTGAATTTTTAGTGCAACCAGAATTGCCTGATCTAAGACCTTAACATAAATCGTCACTCCTTGGTTTTCCAAACACCTATCATGGCAATCATCTGCCATAACCTCATCTTTTCTCAGTTTTAAAACTTTCAACGGAAAATAAAACAAATCTCGAACAAGAAGCATAAGAGCATATGGTCTTTTATTATGTGTCACGGCAGCTATATCGCCATACTGGTAGGCCATTTCACATAAGTTGGTGAAGATG